GATACTGTGTCTCTCATTTTCTGGGTGCCCAACTTGAGACCCTACAGATGGATTTGCAGAAGTGCTAAAGTACCCATAGCAGCAGATGAAGTCAATAGCAGCTGTGCTTTGAAAATATAAAGGGCTATAAAAGTGTTCCGTTCTCTGAAAAATCAGGCCCTAGGCATCTCAAGTTGGACACCCAAAGTTAATGGACACCTTTGAAAATTTTGGCCTTAATCTCTCTGTAACTGTTTCGTATCTGTAAAATGAGAAAAATGTAGCTCTTTCTATGTAATATCCACATAAATCAGAACAGAGTATAATGAGAGGAAGTCTAATGATCAACATTCTGAAAGGGTAAATTAAAATAAAGTTTCTATCAAGATGAAACATTTTTTCATATGAAAACATTTATTATTTAAAATACAACTAAATTGCATCGAGAAATATAGAAGAATAAATTCCTTTTAAAAATACAAATGGAGCTTTAAGACCTTCAAAAATTACCTTCATAAAGCCAAAGCATAAGAGTTTATTCTCTTATTTACTTTGTTATGGATTAGTAGTTTAAACAGTAAAAGAATGTTAGATACCTTACCTTTAATTTTACTGTACTGCTCTGTGCTTTCATTATACCATACAAGATAAACAAGTTCAGGCATAGTTAGTACTAGGATGACAGACCTCCAAGTAACATGCTGCAGGAAGTGTCATTTTTTCCTCTGAGTCAATACTGAACCAATTTATTGAGCATGGAGTTGTGGGACAGTGTGCTGTTGGAAGTAGTATATTTCAAGTGAAACATAAAACGAAGGTCTCGATCACTTTTAGGCATTAAAAGGGTCCACACAGTTTTCAGGAAAATAAGCAGAGGAACCCCAATGTCCTGGCCATATTCCAACTTGAATAATTGTATTCACTCTAACTAAATCGTGCCTGAATTTTCAACTAAATACAGTGTTCTTCATGTCCTATGATAAACTGTGGAATAGTGCTTCTGTATATTATTAAACAACCATTTCTGTGTTAGATAAAGTGGTCCTATACCTGTTACAAAGATGTTGTGAGGCTTAATTGATTCACAATATTAAAGTGCTTTGAGGTCCTCAGATGAAAGATACAGAAATGCAATGTATTATTTGTAGTCCAGACAATATGTCTCTCACTACTAGAATTACAGTAGGTATGTTGTGTGGTAGGGGGAAGGGAGCGCAGATAAGATATTTGTGCACAGATAGCTAAAATTAGAAGAATCTACTAGCAGTTAAAAGTAAAACGCATAAGGATGCAGCTTTACCCTTGCCCTCTAGGTGGCATTCCTTCACTGCTGCATGAGACTTGTTAAAAAGAATTGCTATTCAGATAAGGCAATTAACCACAACTGTTTTAAAGGTGATTTCTAAAATGCACTGTTGCTTTTAAACAATTCTGTAATAAGAAAATTCTGTAGCTCCATTTTATGTTGTAATTCTAAACAGCAGAGTAAAAAAACGTGTTTAGAGGCAAAATGGCATCCTTTAAAAATTGGAAGTCAGATCCTACTGAGGATAATAGGAAGCATAAATGCTGGCAAGTCAAATGTAAAAATATAATAAGGAAGGCCAGGAAAGAATTTGGAAGAGCAACTAGCTAAAAACAAAAAACTAACAGCGATTACTTTTAAATATATCAGAAGCAGGAAGCCTACCAGTCAGTGAGACTACTGGACAACTGAGGTGCTAAAGGAACACTCTGGGAAGACAGGGCCACTGCAGAGAAGCCAGATAAATTCTTTGCATTGGTCTTCACAGCTGAGGATTTAGGGGAGACCCCTCCATACCCAACCCATTGTTTTTTAGGAGGAGGAACTGTTCCAGATTGAGATGTCAGTAGAGGAGGTTTTGGCACACATTAATAAATTACACAGCAGTAAGTCACTAGGACCAGATGGTATTCAACCAAGAGTTCTGAAGAACTCAAATATGAAACTGCAGAACTACTAACTGTGGTATGGAACCTACTACTTAAATCAGTTTCTGTAGCAGATTGGGGGAAGGGATAGCTCAATGGTTGACTGGATTTGTGAACTGGGGTTGGAAAATGAAATGGTGATAGGATTAAAGTTTATTATGTCCATTGAATTAGAGCTGGGTGGTGGGAAACGGTTTTCCCATCCCATGAGAATTTTTGAGACTTCAAATATTTTTCCCATCCCAAATCAGGACAAAAGGTTAAAATCTCAGTAATAGCCATGAACCAACCCTCTCCTCCCCCCATTTCTGATCCAGTTAGTAGAAACATCTCAATTAGATAATTTTGAAACATTTAATGTTGATTTCAATCTTTTTTTTTTTAATTTTTTTTTTTACTATACATTCACTTATATTTTGAAACCAAAATGTGTTTCTGCCTAAGAAATGAAAGTTTTTCATTTAGAAAATGTCCAAACAGGACATTTCAACAACTTGAAAATTTTTTCCAAATATTTTTCAGTTTGGGAAATTCTTCAAATTGATCCTTTCCGGCAAAGGGTTTCACTTTTGTCAAATTGGCATTTGCTGACCAAAAAAGTGTTATCAAAAATATCTGATTAGCTCTAATTAGCATTTCCATTTTATAATGGTAAAAGGCAGGTCTGTTGGAGGTCATGCCTGATGTTGGCAATAATGCTGTCTGTTGTGGCTAAAGTTTACTGTATGCAGATTCTGAAGACCTATCCAATCCTAGAAATGTCTTCACAAGCAGTTCTGCCACAATCTTTTTAAAATCCCTTTGTTTCTGCCAGCTATTTTAGTTAGTCTTTAAAATACATTCATACACAATTCTTACACAGCTTTAATTCTCTATTGAGGACTGCTTAAACGCATATACGTCCTGATCAGTTCCACACCTAGAAACATCATCTTTCTGACTGTGCTGACCTCAAATTCCTACCAACAAAGTAAACGACTCAATTAGCTTGGATTTTTAAGGTCAGCTATATTGCCATGGCAACTGTATTTCATATTGTTGATCATGTTATTTATTGTATAGCCGTTTCTGCTGACACTCCATTGAGGTAATGTGAGTTTCAAGAGCTGTGCAAAGCCTTACTGCATTTCTGTAGTATCTTGCAAACCGCATGAATTCAGCATCTTTAAGATGACGATACTGTAGAAATGATTGAAGGATAATATTCGTGTTAGAGAGATATACAAGGTAAATAACTAATTTTCATGGGTTATTAAAAGCCAGAGCAAAGCTGAGGGAATGTTGATGAATTACAAGGCTATGAAGCCAATACTAAAATTACATTTCAATGCCATGAACTTTATTTTTAAAAATCTTATGGAGTTTGCTGAATCAGTTTTGGCACATAACAAAAATAAAGTTCTCCTTCCCTCTCCCCCATGAGATTTTGGAAATTAAGTGCTTTTGCCTTCTCAGACTTTCCAGTGACATAACTTTGAGGGCAGGGCTTATTATAGACAGAGAATGTAGCAACTTCTGTACAAAGAGGTTATTTTCAGTTTTTATTTTTCCCCATGTCTTTTTCTTCTAACTTCTAACTGAAGTTTCAGAAATATGTTCTCTGACCAGGAATGGCTTTTTGTTTTTTTTTAAATTTGGGCATAAAACCTTCAACCATTTTTGAGAATAAAGTGGTGGTGATGGGGGAACACACTTTTTCATTGATTTTTTTTTTAAAGCATGACTCTTTGAATAGTCCTAGAACATTGTGGTAGATGATAGCAACTTTAAATTTTGCAGGGACATATTTCCTGTGAGTCAGATGAGCCTTTCACTGATCTGGTGAAAACTGATTATGGTTTGTCAAAGATATAAAAGTTTTGCAATGCAATCTCTTAACATTCTAACAAGATTCTATTCGTTCTGGGAATGCATGCATAGTTTAAGAGAGTAAGTAATACCTGTTTTCTCAGGGTTAGTTCTCCTCTAAATCTGACTATTTGAATCTCTGACACTGTGGATGGAAGGCAGGAGACCTTATTTCTCTTGGGATGATGGGCTCCAGGTTTGCATGATACTGAGAGGAAGAATAGAAGGCATATTGCATTGTTTTAGAGTCATGCTCGGGAACTTCTGGAAAGGGAGAGGGAGAACAGACCACTTCTCCCTTTACAGGTAATCTTTGACTGGAAGAAGATAGCATTTTTCTCATCCCTTCCCACCATCTTATCCAAGGGTTTGTCTACACAGATGTTTAGTTCACGGCAAGCTGGAGTGTGAATCTACCCCGCAATAGCCAGCTGCATACTAACTGTCGTGCACTAACAGTTCTTTGGAGTGCTTTGATCTACTCCTGTTTCAAAGCAATGTAGATCAAAGCACACTAAGGAACTGTTTGTGCATGGCAGCAGGGTCCACATAGATAGATAGTGAGCAGCTGGTGAGTATGGGATAGATTCATGCTCCAGTTTGCCACAAATTAAATGTTTGGGTAGACAAGCCCTCAGTTAAGTTTGTATGAGTTCTGCCTATGAGCTCTCTGGTCTGCTTCATTGCCATGATGAATTTTACTTTATAATGATACAGTGTACCCAGTTTATTGTGAAATTGTCAATCATTAAATAACATCATTTGAGATAACCTAATTTTAATAATCTGCATGACTGTTGGAGACAGACTAGTCCTAATAAACTCTGATACTTGTGAAGCAAGTGCCTTTTGGAAGACCAGGATTGTAAATGACTTATATCTTTTTACTATATGTTCCATTCTGTGCCTCCGATGAAGTGGGCTGTAGCCCATGAAAGCTTATGCTCTAATAAATTTGTTATTCTCTAAGGTGCCACAAGTACTCCTGTTCTTTTTGCAGATACAGACTAACACAGCTGCTACTCTGAAACCTGAAGTTAATGTGTTCACTAAAAGTTTGAAGTCTGACTGTCCCAGATAAGAATAATTCAATTTCAAAAGTTAGAGTTCTGATGAGGAAGATAAATGTTTAATTGTGACTACTTGTTTGAAATACTTGCAATAATATAAATAGCAAACTAGCCAACTCCTTATGGGTACACCTTTATATATTTTAATAGTAAGACGGACAAGTTAGGCCCACCACTGCGAACTGGAAGAGATGTGCAAAGGTTGTATGACAGTGATACAAAAACAGACAGTACCATCAAAAGACCAAATGAGTTGTTGCCCATTAACAAGTAAGTATTGCAAATCAGTGTGGTTTATCTATTTTTCAGATATGTTCCCCCAAAAGTGTTGGAATATTAAAAGCATTTTGTGGCTTTTGAAATATGCAAAGCTTCCTAATGAAGTTGTTACCTGATGACATTGTAACAGACTTACTGTCCCCTTTTTTTGTGTCACTGTGAATGTCTTGATAGACCAAAATCAGTGTCTTGTGGGAAGGAGGAAATTAATCTGTAACACATTATGGCTTGTACAACTTTCATATTGGATATAATGTTTTATGATAGGACAGAAAACACAATATAATGCTTGCAACTGAAAACATTTTCCACTGCCATATCTTCCTTCGTTGACTCCAGTTTATTATATATATTTATACTCTTATTTCATGTTTACAGTGCTGGTATAAAGCAGCTATATAGCAAGCGTTTAAACATATAGAACAATTTAAAAAAACACAACCATAGGCATATCACATAGATAAGTCATTACAATAAGATAGCTTATTGGTTGCATTTAACTTTCAATAGCTATTAAAAGCCGACACATATACCATTGCTTCAACATGGTAGAGAAATATTCTATATTTCATATATCTTTTGAATAGAAAATAGATGCAGTGTCCTAGATACCACTTTCAGGTAGCTGGGCAAATGCTGATTTTTAAATGGCAAGCACTTTATCTGTAATATTTTAAGGTAAATTGCTAAGGAAGAGTTAGTTACAAATGGTGACATGTTGGGAAAATACCCAAGAAATGAATATGACTTATTAAGGGGATGCTTTCAAATAATAAAAACAATTTTCCTACATTAATTGTTCTCAGATGCTGTTTTAATTTTTAAAAATGTAAACTAAAACATTTCCAGAAGACTATTTAGACTAAAATATTCAGACTTGAGTGCCTAAAGTTAGGTACCAATAGGAAAAAAACGGTGGCCTTTTTTTCCTAAGATGCACTGCATCTGCATCTTCTATTGGCTTCAGTTGGAGCTGGTAGAGTGCTCAGCACCTCTGGAAACCAGGACACTTTTTAAAAAAAATTTATTTAGATGTCTAATATTAAGCATGCAAGTTTGAAAAATCAGGTGCTAGTAGTTTGCAGAGTGAACATACTTGCATGAACATGCCTTGTAGCAACAAAGAGGATGTGACCTGGAAGAGAACTACTGGTGTGAAAGGTATGGACTTTTTGGCAGTCCCAGGAGTCCTACCACTGACACAAATTTTTGACCTACACATGTACCCTTGTAGTCATAGGATAATCAACTGTTCTTACTGGAGAGCTTCTTTTGAGAGCTTGGCATCTAGACAAACTGCTACTATAAGAGTTTTTATTGTCCTACTGTGAATATTCCAACCATGTGTAGAAATATCACTGTTGTGATTGTGTCCATTCAGCTACCCAAGCAGATCATGTAATTTAAAGAAACTGTGGTGGCGAAAGTGGGCTCCATCAATTCTAAACTCCTAGTGCACTGGCTATAATCCAGGTTGCCCAACAGTTCCCATTATAAGCCCCCTGTTTTCAGTTACTTATAGCTTTTGCCAAAGTTCAACCATTTGGGCTGAAATGTTCCATTAGAGGTGTCTGCCTCAGGCTGCACTTTTTTTGTTTAATTTCAGCAAAAACTGTTCAGCTATTTCAGAGAATGAGGTTAGAGAAAATCACATTTTGCCCTTTTAAAAAATTTTTTGCAAACTTTTCTTAGAAAAACTCCACTGCCTCCATACTTTGGAACAGAGACTGGAAATTTGGCAAGGGGTGGCCTTTGTGATACTGATGTGCTTTTGGACAGCCCTATTAAAAATCTGCCCAAATTTGACCAAGTTAGAAGGTTTTGAAAAAAAATCACAATTTGCACATGCTCCGTGCAGAATTGTTTAAGAGCAAAAATCTCCAAAGATTCCATCCTCACTGACCAACTGACTCCACTTGGATTGGGAGCTGTGGGGTGGAGGGGAGATTAGAACTGGTTGGAAGAGAGGTTGAGACTGGGGACTGGGTGTAGGGAACTGGTTGAGGTTGAGTAAGGAGGCTTGGAAGGTATGAGAATACTGGTACTAGCTGAACAAGGACACTGGGAGCCACTGGAGACAGCTGGGGGCTGGGAGCCAATTAGCTGGCCTGGGATGGGTGCGGAGCAGCAAGATTGGATGATGTGCTGGGTGGAAAACGGACTGGCTGGACCAGGAGAACGAGGGTGTGGGGGAATTGGGAAAGGGGAGACAAAACTGACAAGGAGCTAGGTTGTAAGGGGGAAACCTTGGCCTGGCTGGACAAAGAGAGTGGGTAGACAGGATGAGTGGTCTGGGGAAGGAGACTAGGACTGGGACCAGTAGTCATGAGGAGGAAAGATACAAACTGGATGAGGAGCCAGGAAAGGAGAACTGAGACTAACTAGGCAAGGAGGGGATGGATCTAGGACTGGCTGTGCAAGGAGACTGAAACTGGGATAAAAAGCCTGAATGGAGAGTGGGAATGAGTGGGCAAAGAAAACAGGACTGGGACAAGGAGCTGGGGGAGGTAGAAACAGGACTATGAAAGGTTGGAGGGTATAGGACAGAAGAGGATAAACTTGGGGGAAATGGGCAGAATAGTCTACTCATTAGAGCAGAGAGGTCTATGCAGTGGATCTACAGATTCTAACCCTGTTGATGAACAATGTGGGTGTCAGTATGATGCCGCCTGATGAAATTTCATTTTCCAGTTTGCTGTTTTAAATTGTGCACAAAAAATACATTAAAAGACATTATTGAGGTTGCAAAGTCAAGGACTCAAAAGTTAGGAAATGCCAGAATTAAGGTTACCTTTGTAATTTTAATTTGCCCCCCTTGTGCATATGCATTAGTATGCAGTCTTTAATTATATGATGGAATACTATTTTTTTCCACAGGACCCTGACCTCATTCAGTTCACAGGAAAGACCTGCTATGGGGATGAATCAGGGTTGCATGTTAAAGGAGGCTGTGATCTATAGGATGTTGAGGAAGTAGAAGATGCTTACTATTTTAGTACTGGGGCAAGCGGGTATAGGCCTGCCCAAAACTAAAGGCCTGGGCTACAGCTGATTTCTGCGGACAACAACTGAAAGAAACAGGATTCAGAGTGAGGTCAAAGATTAAAATGAGAGAGCCAGAGGGAACACAAAGCAGAGAACCCCAGACAGCGCCCTCTGCTCCTCAAAGGCATCCAGAGTAGAAGGTGTGTAGTGAATGAGGCAGGGGATAGCAGGATGAGAAAGGAGGGTCTTATCATCGAGACAGTTAAATGTTGCCTTGGAGAACTGGATTGTATCCTTGCCTTTGCCACAGAGTTCCTATGTGATGCTGGGCAAGTCATGTAAGCCAGACTTTTTGCAGGTGATCACTAATTGTGTGTTCATCATTTTCTGACTTCACAACCTGAGTCTTGATTTTAAAAAGTGCTGAGCACTCACTGCTGCAGCTGAAGTCCATGAAAACTGTGCTTTGAACAATCAGGTCCTAGGTGTCTCAAATTGGGCACCCAAAATTAGGGGATATTGATTACCTTAATGTCTCTGTGAATCAAGTTCCTTATCTGTAAAATGGGGATAATAATTCCTTGTCATCTCAGAGGTGTGGTGTGGAAATATATTCTTTAGTGTTTATGAAGCACTTGTACTATAATGATGAGTGCTGTAGACAAGTCCACAAAGACATTAATAATTCTGTATTCAGAGCAGGATTTGAATAGTGGGCAGTAAATGAGGCCTGTGGTCACACATTGAATGATAAATAGTTGCTCATAAATTCATCACTCATGCACTGAATGAGGCAGGGATCCTGTAGGAAAAAACAGTATGTGATCATGTAATTAAAGACTGTATAATAATGCACATGCACAAGGAAACTGAATTAAGGTTGCCCAGGCAAACAATTCTGGCATTTCCAACATTTTGAATGCTTGACTTTGCAACCTTAATAATGTACTTTTAACTAACTTTTTGAGTGTAATTTGCACTTATATTGTGGCTTTTTGATTCCACGATGCTTTTATAAAGTAATCCTGATAATGCTGTTGGTAAGTAGGTAGGAAAACAGCCCATCCTATAGACAGGAGCACTAAAGGAGAAAGTTTGTGACCAGCCTGCTGTCACAAACTCAATCTGTGAGCTGGGGCAAATTACTCTTTGGCGTAAGTGGGTGGCATACTTGTGTGCTTAATTATTAGACCACTCCCCTCATTTTGGGTTTTTCACAGCAGTGTTCAGGCCACTGGGTCCAAATCGCAGGGGTCAAGAATCCTGCCTTAATCTGCCCTTGGCTATTACTGATGAAGGTAAATTTTTTTAAAAAATAAATACATTCTTCAACATACTCTCCAGTGTGTGGTAAATTTTTGGAACAAGATAACAGAACTTATTTTTAATCACTTGTAGTGAAGGGTGCTTCCGCCTCCCTGTTCCTCTTGATGGTGGCAATGCTACTCAGGGATAACACCCTTCCTAGCTGTGCTGAGGAATAGTGCAGCTTGTCAGTGCTCTCATGTTCCTCCACTTCTTCAAAGTGAGCAACTGTCTGGAGATTTGAATAGGACAGAGCAATCCTTTAGCTGGGTATCACCATCCAACTTCCCTTCTTCTGTGTGGGGATTCTTGAAAGAGCTTCTGCCTCTGTGTTGCTGCACTATTGAACTGAGGATTTGACAAGCCATAAAAGATGGGTGCTGCTACCCTGTTGGGTGAAAGTTATTCCCCCATCCCCACGCTTAGGTTGAAGAGGCTGGACCAAGAGGGCATCACTGTCCTTCCTAAGCAGGGGAGTAACAGCCACCTCCAATGGCTGCTGTGGCTGGGTTCAGTATTATGGGAATGAGAAGGCAGTGGCCATGGCTCACCTAAGAATGAATGTGAAGGGGTGCAAGGCATCCATCTGCCTAAAGATTCTTCCACCTCTTAGTTAGGCCACCAGTTAGTTGCTTTTCACTCTTCTAGCAGTCCTAACAGAGCCATAAAATCACTTTTAGCCTGGGAGCAAAGAGGTGGAAATATTCTATACCGTGAGCAATCAATAGAGAGTGCATTTGCTTTATTCTAGTGTGATACAGAATGAAAGATTGGGAGTATGAGTGAAATGCTTCTTCACCATTGGCCAAAAGAGTGCAGTGTTACCATCACTGGTCCAGGTTTTGGCACTCTGTGGTCTTCCGACCTTCCTAATCTTGCTATGGCTCTTCACTCTGTCATTGGTAGGGTTAATGAGGTTCTGCTGTTTTTCCAAAGTATTGGCAATGTTGTGCCCGGGTGGTTTGTTGAAACTGTTTGTTTAATTCACTGAATATCTACTCTCTTCTAGAGGCACTGTGAAAACTCGAATATCAACCCCTCCAAGTATGGCAAAAAACACGGGCACAGGTGCTCTAGCAAACAAAAGGAAAATCTATAATGCAGAAAGTTACTCAAGCAGGTAGTTTTTAACTTCATAATCTTGTAAGTACAGTAAATAGAAACATTTTAGGGGGGTACTCTCTACAGGAAATGATGGGAAGAGTCGTACACAGACAGTTATGGGAACCTCTTAATTCAATATTCTTTGGTAGATTTAACAATTTTAGTATGCTTTGACTGTAGGTTCGGCATATTTAGTGCTGTAGCTTAGTGTGAAAGTAAAATTTCACCCATCCAAGTGGGTAAGGCTGAGCATTAGGAGTTTCAGTACACTTGTGAAAAGGTTATGAGAGAATGGGTGGCTCTTTCAACCTAAATTTAAGTCAATTACTGCTAACTGAAGAAGAGAAAATAGGGAGTTTATAGTTCTAACGCCACACGATCTGAGGGTGATACAGTGGGTGTTATTTTCTGAGGTTCTCAGTGCCATACTTTTCCTCTGAAGTTAAGTGGAGTTGTGCATGCTTATGCCTCTGAAAACTAGGCAGGAAGTCTGTCTCTAAAAAAAAATACAGTGCTAATATTTCTTTGACTATATACTTTCATTTGTTAAAGATATATTTAGGGTTACTTTCCAACAAAACCTTTGATAGGTCAGTGATAGAATTTCTAGTTAGATTAACTTGTGACTTGAATGTTTCTTCCTGCTTCTAGGATTCTGGTGTTAGTTTCCTTTAGCATCTCTCTTTTTGTTTCAAAGTAGGGAGCACTTTGGAAAGGGTGCACAATATGATATTTCAAGTAGGTAGGCTGATTATCCCTTTTATGGCACAAACTTTAAAGTATATATTTGTCAGTTATTAAAAAATAGTAATTCTTTGTAAAGGATTAGAATGGGTACTTATACCAAGCTGCACTGTATTAAATTATATTATGAACATTTGTTATTTGAATTTTCAGGTCTGATGGTAAAATTGGGTATGATAGTGGAGACTACTCATCCTCAGTCAATGGAGGAAGTACAAAAAGCAGTGATGAAAATTCACCTGTACAGTTATCAAAATTTTGCCATGAATGTGGAACCAGGTACCCGGTGGAATGGGCAAAGTTCTGCTGTGAATGTGGAATTCGAAGAATGGTTGTATGAATGCATTCTTAAAAGCAAAGAAAGCAAGCAAACAAAAAACAAAACAAAAAACAAAAAAACCCAGAGCTTCAGTTGCATATTGCGGCATGGAATGCTGGAGCACTCCTTCCTGTTAGATTTCATGCTGCAAACATGCTTGAAGTACCATGTTGTAGTAATTTACTGAGTGCAATCCTTTTGGTTACATAGTTATTTATATATAAATATATATACTGTATATAAAAATAACAGGTACCTAAAACTGTGCCGTTCAAGGACATTCTAATCTCTGTTGGAAAATATTTTAAGCTAAGTAGAAATGTGTTTGGTAATTTAGCAGATAGAAATGGATCTTTTTGTAGAACCCTGGTATGTAAAATATTCTAGCTATGAAACATTTGGGCTAAAAAATGCTTCTGAGAAGGAATCAGATATACTTATGGGACACTAACTAAGAAACTGTCTTTTAAGCAAGTATGAAAACTGCATGAGTAGCTCCTATAACTTTCTAATTAAATTGTTAAAGATTGTCTTTGGTTAAAGAGATTAAAGCATACTATTCCAATGAGCTTCCATGGTTATTTTCTGGGACTGCTTCTAAAATATTTGTTAAAGCAAATGGACTGAAGTCCTGTGTGAAAGTATTGTTCACCTCTGTAAAGAGTAATAGGATTTGAATAAGAACCAATGAAGGTTATTACATATTTACAGCCAGCAGTGTGGGACCAGGCCTTTTTTTAAAAAAAGCCATGTTTTCCATAATGATGTACTTTCCTTTTCACAACTGTGCACACGAGTCTTATCCAACAGCTCCCATCTCTCCTTCCAGAGATGTCTGCAAGTTCCTGCTCCCTTCACTTCCCTCCTCTTTCTCCAGAAGGAAAGACAAAATAATTTACTCCAAAAAATTTTTAAAAAGTTTCTTGGATATGTATTGAGATTTTCTAGTGGATGGCTTTAATAGATGATTATCATAGATGATGAAAATAATTTGTACATCAATTTTTTAAACAGTCCTTATAATGTGTCTTACATGATAGAGGTCCATATAGTTATATGAAACTGGTACTGTAAGTTTTGATAGAAGTCATCACTTCCCTTATTCTGATCCCGTGCAATAGGCAAAGCCATATGTTTTATGGAGCAATTATGCTTCATGGGATAGTATGTGAATATTTAATTATTCTGTCTGCAATTACTACGTTTTCTTGGGCTGTGTACTGCAGCCATTGAAGTCAGTAGCAAAACTCACATTGACTTCCAAGGGAGCAGGATCAGACACCTTAGCTGTTTAACTTTTGTAATATGGTAACCAGAAGGGCAGTTTAAATAACCAGGCAAAAGCTGAGTTTCTTAGTTTGTGTCTGAATTTAAATGTTTCTGTTATGTGGCGTTTGCTTTGAAGTATTTTAAACTATTTTGGTTTCCCAGGGAAAAACAATCCGAAGGAATCTAATTGTGCCTTTCCCAAATTAACTGTGCTGTCTTGTCCAAAATTGTTACTTTTAATTCATTGCTGCCACTAGTATAGCACGTGTATGATTTATATTAAGGTGGTATATTGAAGCTTTTTGCCACATATGGTATGACATTGCAATATTGTCAGTTGATGTAATCCAAAAGTACTATTCATATTTTTGGAGAATACAGATAATGGGGCCAATTACAAACAAAATGTAGTTGATATCCATTTTGTGGATACCCTTCTCTGATTTTTGTGGATATCTTTAGGGACTTGATGCTGTCATTTTGTGGGCCCTAAACTATTATTGCTATTTTAGGATGACCAAGTTCAGTGGTACAGAATTGTTTTGTAATCTTTCTGAGAAATTAGGTGCTTCTAGGAATTGTCCCTTTACCTGGTGTATTGACATCGTTTCTAATTCTACAATATGGCCACTGAGCTGCCCGTGTTTAGTGTGTAAGAGTGGATAACTATTAAATGTGATGTTGCATAATAGGTAGACTTGATGGACTTTAACTGAATTTGGGTGCTAGAAATCAAGGTGTATAGAATGGCCTTTTGGCAGTTTCATATATACACATGGGAATTACAATTCTGCATCCCTTGTGGACGTAAACCCCAAGGGAAAATCTGCTCCAGAATCACATTAGGGTGTCCATTGTCCTGTGGGCCTTCTACTGTAGTGTGAAGTGCCCAAGGGATGTAAGAATGAGCCAAATATGGGTTCAGCCAAGGGACACTGAAGGTTCATAGGCCCAATATCTGATCTATTTAGTTTCTGTTCTTATATCTGTTGGCAAATTAAATGTTATCCGTTTTTAAAAAAATAAATAAATGGCAGCAGCCCAGCACTCATCATGAGCAAACCTGTAATAACAGCAATATGTTCGTAAAATATAAAGGGAAAGTTTAGTAAGGAAACAGAATAGTTTCAAGCTTACGAGGATTTTATTGTGAATAATGAGAGGAGTGAAGGAATTATCTACAGAATTATGAACGTCTGTGCTTTGAAACCATAAATGCCAGGTTTCCCAATTCAGTGCATACAATATGTGGATTTATATTCACTACTCTTTGAGCTGTTGTGTAATGCAGTGCTTCAAAGTCAGGTGTTAGAAAATTATCCTAGAGTTATGCACCATTTATTTTCTTTTAATTGAAATTTTGTGTGTATTATTCTAAAGTTTAATTCAGCATTACAATTTAGTAAATTTAAACCTAGATTATTGACAAAATGTAACATTTAATAATGTGCACGTTTGAATCTTCTATAATAAAGACATGAAAACACTAACATAAAATTTGATTATCCAGTTTGTTACTGCTTACTGAGGCTATATTCAGTATGTTCAGGTTTGTTTATCAAAATGTTTTTATTATCTAATGTATCTAGTGCTATCTACAGAGGACTGCATTGCACACTAACAGCACAGACTGCTGCCTTTCCATCCAAATGTTTGTTAGCAAACAAAAACGGAACGGTTTTCATAATACTCATTGCAGATGCTGTTTAAATGGAATATGAAACACATAAGGAGCATAATTAAGTATCATATAAAAAGCAAGAAATAAGCATGTTGATTGAAGGAAGATTAGGGAAGATCTTGAAAGCTCAGTGTACATCTCTCCAAGGATATGTATAAGCATATGTTCTGTGTGAACTCTTCAAAAGTTATTATCCAAAATTAAATTAATAAAGCTAAGCTTATCATTTTTAATTAAAGTGGGCAGAACACCAGAGGAGGATTATGAACCCCAAAACTGATGAATAACAACACGCACTAACTGCACATTTTAAAAATCTCTGAATAAGTTGTATTGGTGTAATTACATGGTTACAGTATTACTTTCGCCTCCAGGACCTTGACAACTTTTACTATCCACCATATATATTGCGCTATAAGTTCTCTTGCAAAGGTTCTCTCATTCTGTAGGAGGGAGTCAGTGGAGGGTTCTTGCATGAAGAGCCAGCTCCGAGATGAAGGTTAATGGTAGGTTCCACAGTTGCCAACTTTCACACGGTAAATAAGCACCCTGACTTTCACAATAAGCCTACAATCAAGCTAATCCCATTTCAGAACAGGGCCAAAATAAGCCAATCCCTAAGAAACCCAATACTCTATATGACTAGATCCCCCCCAGCCTGCAGTCTAGGACTGTGGTGGGCCCGCTGTGCACCTCTGATTCTCTCCCCCCTTTACACCTGCTTGCCCCTGCTTGGCGGGAGCTGATCAAGAAAAAGAAGGAACAAGCAACAAGCCAAAAAGCAACTCACAAGCCAATGAAGCCAAAAACAAGCCTAATTTCTGGGGTTTTTCACGGGTTTGGCCTGCGAGCCATCTTCCCTGTCCTGAAGGTTTTGAGTGCTGCCTCTTTTTAGGATTTAGACCATCAGCACCTAGAACTAGGGCCATGAAAAACGTTTCTGTGCCCCAGAAAGCAGACACTGGACTTAGTGTCTTGCCTTCCCCTCTGCCTCTCCATTCCCCGTTTCCTTTTATGTTATCACTCTCCCCCATTCTATCTCACATTTTTCATTAAAAATTGAACTTTTTGGCAGAGGTTTTTAAAGGGATTTGGACTCCCCATTACATTTCCCTTGGTGGATTTGAAAATCTCAATCTTTAAGGTTTGTTGCCCAGTAATGAGACCTAGCTTGATGTTAGGAGCTCTCCATGGTGCTCTGGCACTGAATCTGCTCCTACAATGCATCTGATTATCAGTCTTCCATTGCACGTGCTACAGCGAGTGAGGGAAACAGAGTGCTGACTGCAAAGTGCACTTCAGCAATAGCCCCAATGTTAGAACATCATGGAGTGTGTCTGTTACTGAGAGGAAGTGGCTCAGTGTTGTGATGGTGTAGTGGTGGGCAGGGAGGAATAGGTAAAAACTATTTTTTCCTGATGGAGATAGCAGAACAGTATCTCTCTGCTGTAGCTTAAATGCTGTGTGCTGGCATCCCAAATGGCTAGTCTACTGAACATGAAATCAAATAATAATGTCTGAATGCTATAAAAATCCACTAGAAATGTTAGTTATTAGTCACATTTATTCCTCATACCATACAGAATCAAATACTCCTGGAAGAAGCTTTTGTTACTGGAAAAACTGTGTTCCTAGAAAAGGGGCTATTTTACTACTTTAATTTTATTGTTTTAGCTATGCAGTGAAACTTAAATGGGAACAAGGTTTTGTGCTTGCAACTGTGTGTCAAACACTGAAAATAAATTTACATGAAATGATGGTTAATGAAACTGAGTGAATTTTATTTGCTTGCCCAAAAAAGAATTACTTGTTTGGGGTGAGTGAGTGAGTAGAATTTTTCAGGGCTTATTTATTATTAATCTGTGGGTATGTATCTTTTAAATTCAAAACATAATGGAATACAGAGTTTGATAAGCACAGTTGATTTAAAACCAGATTAGCCTGTGGGGTGTTGGTTTCTTTTTAACCCAGTAGTAAGGTTAAATCATGGCCTCACTTTATCCAGGTCTTACAAATAATATTTGGTAAGAAATTATTTGCAGTGTTTAGTAAGTTAGCACTCACTCAGCTCCTTGAGACTTTCTTCCTAGATGTACAGTGCACAATATGAGGTACACTGGTACATATTTCCAGATGATTTTTTTAAAATTGTTTACACATATTAAGGGGCAAACATGTTACCATGCTCATGGACACTAAATAGAACCATTGAATATGTCACAAGCAATTGAAAAATTTAGATTTTCCCTTTACAGATATGAACATTCTTCATTTGATATATACTAATTGAAAAGTATTTTTCCCCATGTAAATAATAGCCCTTGAGACTTAATCAGATGTATTTTGAAGTTTCATTCAGTTCAAAACCACTAATGCAAATGTAGTTATAGAATAACAGCAGTCTATGCACCATTTCTGGCGTGGGCTTTTGGCAGAAGTAGTGTGGGATTTGCACCTGATCCAGTGCTGAGCGCTTAACAGTTGCTCTGGCGTCCAGTGGAATTTGTGTGTGCTTGTCCTTCAAGCACTGTTTCTGTGGATGTCTCTTATATGCATCTTCATAAGCCAAAGCACCCATTTATTTATTTTTATACCAATGTTTCACCTATTTTATAGAAATGGTTCATTATTGTATCTGATATTCTTAGAGTTGTCATTACTACATCTGTTATTGTTTATGCCTGGCACTTTAATGCACTGAATACTCTCACATTTGTCACTATCAAGAGTCCTATTTCTATCAAATGGTTTGAGTTTCTTGATCACTTATTTGCTATGTGAAGTTTGAATTCTCAAGTGTCAATTCCATTTTAATTTGCAAATGTAATTTGTAAATAGCTCACCCTATACAATCTTGCCACTTGTTAACAATAAAGCAGATATGCTGGATAAAACTGTATGTTCTCTTTTATGTTTCTGTATTGTCAAGTGTAAGTTGTCTCAAAAGTAGCCTAGTATTGTTTTGTTTTAGTACTGAGTTTGAATCATATAAATAATTTGAATTCCCAAGGTCCACAGGAAATACACTTACACTTGGGCCATGTGTAATGCCTGCTCCTAACATGTGGGCCATCTACTGTCTTCTCATGTGAGTTGAGAGACAGCTGAAACACTGCAAGTAAAACTTTCAAAAGCATGTACATGAATTTTATTGAGAATGAGGCTCCGAGGTGTCTCAATCCATTTTGAAAATGGGACTTACGCTCCTAAATCACTAAGAACTTCTGAAAATTGTATCCTGAATTTTAATTAGTGTTTGTACAACTCTTGGAAGACTTAAAGTTCTGTCTAACTGAGAAGAGGTATCTTCATATTTATATACCTACTATTGAGTATGATCAGTTTATATAGACCTTTTAGGCTTCTGTTTGGTTTTTTTCTGACAATGTAAAGGAGTTGTTTTAATACATAGTCAATCACTGATACCTGTGTTGTAAATGTAAATCTCATCTGTATTCTGACCATTAAGGTTATAGAGTCCATCCTTTTCAATTTATATATCTAATCCAGACTATTAGATGTAATCAACTATTGGTGTAGCCAAACCCTGATACAGGTTTATTCTTCCAGGCAAGATAAATGCAGCGCTTGGATGTTTGTAATTACAGCTACTGGCGGTGAAATGATTAAATGTTGAGTTTCTATACTAGAAGAACCTGAAGCTATATTTTCCCTGTGTGAGACTCTTTGATGTGAACAGAAGCTGTAATTCATAGGGTTTTTATTGTCCAGTCCAGCTGAATTGAGACAGAGTTCCTCTTTTCTCCTTTATTCCCCCCACACTCCCCTAATTTCAAAGCTGCTCCAACTGGCATTTTTTTCTGGCCCCACCACACCCTCCTCAGGTCCTATTTTTGCTGCAGAGAAAAGCAGATACTTCCTCTTCTGTACTCTGGGTGAAACTCATTCCTGTATAGAGGGGCCACAGGGGCCTATGCACCCTTTAGATCTACTGGAGCCCTATTTTGAGGACATAAGTTGTGTATAGGCCATGGATGGGTGCTCTGCATCAGGTGAATTGCATGCTGCCTGAGTGAGTAACTTGCAAAAGATTCTTTTCCCTGGGGAAATGAGTCTTTTAAAAAGTCTCCCCTAGGAATTCTGCATTTTTGGAATTGAGTGCAATGCTTTGGGGTAGGTTTTGCCAAGTGCTCCCCCTTGCCTCCAAACCCAGTGAGTTTCAGCAGCTCCTCACCTGCTCTAGTAGCCATTGGCTTACCTGTCTCATGCTTTGTTGCATAAGAGATTGGGGGAACAACAGGGATTTCAGTAAAGTGGATTTAGCACCTGAACATTGGCTTACCCTCCTTCAGGATCACTATTGTGCTTCCATTGTGAACAGCCCTTAACTTTGCTGATGTGTGGTGGGGACAGCACCAGA